GCCTGGCCAGCGATGGGCGTACCATGGTACACTCATGTACCATCACTGCTCCCTGGCACCGTTGGTGGCCAGTAGGCTTCGGGGTGCAATTCAAGGTGCCAGTTCCCACCTCTAAAGCCCTACATGGCATAGGCCAGGTTATCTGAAGGACTGGCTATCTCCCAGGGTTTCTGCCTGTCTGTTGAGATGGCTGGAGCTGGTGCCCACTCAATCAAACCATGCCAACTTTTGGGACCCAGGAAACATGCCTTCTCTGTTGTGGTGCCTGTGCTCTGGAGTAGCATCTCCCCCCGAGATCTGTGACTTTCCACCCAGGTGTCCTTGTGGAAGTCTTTAAAAACGTGGGTGCTCTCTCAGGCCTTGGGGTAGGGTGCTGTGGGAGCCCTATCAGTTGTGTTCACGGAGCGTGGTTCGTCCAGATGCCCACGATCTCCTTCTCTGATTGCTTTCTCTCTTTTTAAGGATAAGCCGCCCAGTGTTGTTTAGAGCGGCCTCCGCATTTAATTCTTCATCATCATCATCATCATAAATCTTGGCTTTTTGGATACCCCTCCCAGGGACGACCCTGAAAACAAAACTACACATCACCAGAATTAAAGGTCATTGCAGCTAAAACATTTTGGGGGAGTGCAAAATCCAGTTATGCTGCGCTCTGCACATTTGTCTAGAACACTTGGCCTTTGACTGAAATGCCAGGGGCATTTTTCCAAAAAAGTGGGAGCAGCGAGGAGAAAAAACAGCAACCACCGCCCAGCCACTGACAAGCCTAATTTCATTTCTTTTCGAATGCCCTTTCTTTCCCTTCGGTGAAATAAGTGCAGACATACCTACGTAAATGTCAGGAGCCAGCCTGGCCAAGGGAATCCTAAACCGTATCTTATGTCCAAAGGAAATTGGCTTCTTTATTCATTTTTTTGTTTCTCTAAGAATGGAGAAATAGTCAAGTCTGTGCCTCTACAAGTGCAATTTATTCATAGTGCAGTTCATTTGCTGGGATCCTGCTGATTCTATAAAGCAGGATCTGGTCCTATATTGCTAGCAGCAATATAGATCTGACCAGATCTTTTTAAAAAATGGGTCTTTCAGTTAAAAAGGGAAATTGTCTACCGGCCATGGGAAATTTCCACCTTCAGTGTCTCTTCCTTTGCAGCAAAGTCTTTGGCTCCCAGCAAAAGATTCTGGGAGGTAATTGCACCTTGTTACAAAATGCTGCGCAGCGCCATGACCACCCTGGTCGGTCTTTTAGGACGGTGCAACTCTTCTCAGCGCACCCCTCGCCTACCCTCACAACTCCAGGGTGCCTCTGGGCCCCAAAGTTGGCATGCCTTGAGTTTAACAAGGCTCTTGCTGGGAGCCAAATTCCAGAGGTTTGGACTGTGGTGGGCACCCATAGCCTCACACACCCAGGCTTGCCCACCTGCGCATATGAGAGATGACACCGACAGAGATCCCTCGCGGGCAAAACCTCACCTTTGTGTAGGAAAATGGCAAGCTAAAAAAACCTCCCTGCCCACTGTAGTAATTTCAGAAGTTTGCCCACCTCTGCTGACCATTAGGCTTGCCATTCCAAACCGGCAGTCCTGTTTTAAGAGGTTTATCGAAAATAGTTGCAATTACAGTGCGTGACGCTGCCGGTCGCGCACTCCTGTTTATTCCTCCCCTTCACGGTGGGATTGCAGGCCCTGGGAAGCTTGATATTTCAGCCTTCCTCGGCCCGCCAGCCTGTTGTCATTGGCAGCTGGAACCCTGCAAATTCTTGCTTTCCCTGCCCGCCCCCGTGTCTGGCCATGCCGCCTGTTTTCCCCCAACCTCCTTGCGCTCTGAAGCTTGAGATTTGCAATTCGCCGGGGATGGAAACGAGGGAGGGCGATTTGTTTCGAAGGAATGGCGAGCAGGGGGAATGGGTGGGCTGGCCCGTGGAATTTGATGCTTTGCTACAGGAATCCTCTTTCGTTCCTTCCGGATTTTGGACAACATTTGGGGGGCAGAGTTTTTCTCTGTCTTCTTCTTGCCTCTTCTGGTCTCCAGAAGATGACCCGCACAGCCAAACACAGACCTTCGTGATGGACTGCCCGAGGGTTGGGGGGAAAGACAGAAACCAGCTGCAATGGTAAAAGGTATCTATGAAAGGTGGTGGGGACCCCCACCACCACTGGTTTCCTAACAAATGGGTGTTTTACGATTGGTGATGGCCATGGCGGCCACCATTTTGTGAGGCTGCCTCCAAGACGCGCTCTACATTTCAATGGTGCCCACCGACCTGAAACGTTCAGGGACCACTGCTTTATTTGGAGGGCACTATTTCAGTCAGTTTGTTTCCTGTCACATCACCCGTGTAAAAAACATACATAGAAGTCTATCGTAACTACGTATGCAATCGTCCCTTTGAAACACTAATTATAATGTGTATAAAAAATGTAAATCAGACCAACAATGCATTATTTGGATTTACTGTATACTCCCTTGCTTTTAAAGTGACTGTTCTCACTACAATATTTGCACTGCGTCTACTACAAATGTTGTTGTCGTGTCAGATGTTCTTAATAGTGCAGCCTTGCAGTCAAGCCCCATTAGATGTTAGTAAGTGGGTCTTCGTAGTTAGCAACAGATTCACTCCAGAAAGAACTGGGGCTTGTTCAAAGGAAGCAACGGGTTGGGTGGGTATCTTTTCCTAGGTCCCTCTTCCATCCCTGATGTCTGTTGTATCTCTCCTGAAGACCATCCCCATTTCTCCTTCAAATGTTAGACCATGAGAAGAACTCTGAGGTTAGAACAAACCAAGATCCATGGAATCCAAGGATCGTAGGGGCCATCAAGTCCAGACCCCTCCTCAGTGCTGAAATCCAGATGGAAATATATGGTGCTCTAATACCAGATCCCTTCTAGAAGTTTACTGATATGGATATCTATCCAGATGCATAACCATTAATCCTCCAAACATTGGCCCTGTTTCCTTTTAAAACCCTCTAAATCGGCTACAGTGAATCCCACCCTTGAACTCCATGTTGTTGTTGGTAAATGGGATCAAGGTGTTGTCTGCATCTGCTCGGTGACAATTAATGCTGGCCTGCCTTGTCTCTGCAGACACCTCCCAGCTTTATGTCGAAGACAAAGAAAACGATCTCGTCTCTCCTTTGGAACATTGCATTCGGACCAAGTAAGTGCCAGTCGCCTGTTGTTTAGTATGAATGATTTTATTAAAATGTAATAAAATGTTATTTTATTTATCTTTCACATTTGGTCACCGCCCATTCCATGAGGAAGTGACTCTAGGTGGTTTACAATAAAAACAACAAATAAATATTAATTAAAATACAATAAAAATAGTATTACATATTACATATGCTTCCCCCCCCCCAAAAGTCACATACCTTTGTGCAATTCAAGAAATGCAACGTGGGTCCCATGCCCACGTGCAGAATTTGCATTCTCTTCTTTTCTCTTCTCTTCTCTTCTCTTCTCTTCTCTTCTCTTCTCTTCTCTTCTCTTCTACTCTACTCTACTCTACTCTACTCTACTCTACTCTACTCTACTCTACTCTACTCTACTCTACTCTATTTTTTAACTAGGCTCTCGTTGTCAGCTGTCTCATGTATACAACTAGGGTAGGCCAGTATGGACAGTCTTTCCATCTTACTCTCTTGACTCTTAGCCTAATGACAAAGCAGCATTGCATGGAGGCCCCTCTGCAGCTACAGTCACACGTCACACTAAGCCACGTGTCAGTTTAACCATGGTTTGTGGAATAAATTATGAGCTGGCTTCACCCCAAAGCCTTCACCGATGGCTTGCAAGCCATTGTTGTTGTTGTTTAGTCGTTAAGTCGTGTCCGACTCTTCGTGACCCCATGAACCATATTTCGCCCGGCCCTCCTGTCCTTCACTGCCTCCCCGAG